AGAGGAGAGAAGAGAGCTTGTGTCACACAAAGAGGCGTGGTGGCTTTGCTGCTATAATGGATGCTTGTTCTGCCCCTGAGTTTGGACATTAAATATCTTTGATGGTTTGGGAAATCTCTAGGAAATTAATAGATTAGAAAATAACCTCTGTGTATTAATAGAAAAGAAAATAAGCTCTGATAGAGATCGTCAAAGAGGTGAAGGCCTGTGTGGTGTGTAAGTGTTGGAGGATCTGACATGTGGTTGGACACGATTGTGTGTCCTCCAGCGTGGAGGGGGTTCCACATCTTCAGCGTTGACACATCTCCGGGTGTCCCCAGGTCCCCAGGTCTCTGCTGGAATGTGCAGCCGGGTTTAAACTCCCCTAAACTGCAAACTAAATAGGTGTTTTACTGCCGATGGGTATACAGTGAATTAAGTCATGTATTGAACATATATAAATATACATATATAAGTCATGTATTGAACATATAACATATAACAATAAGGTAAACGGACCCAAAAAACGTGAACTGGAAGGAAATGCGTTGTCTGAGTAGAATGATGAAGAAAAGAAAACAAATGAATAAGTAACCTGTGTTGGTGCAGAGTTGGACATTGGATTCAATTAAAATATAAACTAAAAAATTGAAACCTAGTTAAATATAAAGATAGCTCTGGCTCTTAAGAGCATCACGTCTTTGGTTTACTGTTGAGTCCTTAAAAATGTATTGGGTTTGCGTGGCAAGGTTTTGAATTCTGAATTAGCCTGACTTTATGTCATTGTGCCTTGTGAACTTGTGTCTCTTCTTGTTGAGAAGATTGTATATGGCTTTTTCCTGCCTTTTACTCTGACAGACGCATGTGGGCCCCCGGAGAGGCTGCAATATGCAGAGCTTGACGAGAATTTCAACACCATGACGAGCTTTCCTGTTGGAACCACGGTGTCGTACATCTGCCGGCCGGGGTATATGAGAGTCCCTGGAAAATCAGCAACTCGTACGTGTGGTGAAGGTTTACAGTGGTCACCCGTAGAGCAGTTCTGTACAGGTAACGTGTGCTTGAGCTCTTTTGCTTTTTCCTGTTGATATTTAACAATTTTAGTTGTTTTTTCAAGTGAGAATTAGTATTCTGCAATATTTTAAACAAAGCTTGGAAAGTGCTGATAATGGCTGTAAGAGCAACAAATGCCAGAGGCTTAGTCTCTGCATACAGTTACAAAGATTTAGATTATTTTTCTTTTCTTTCCCCCTCCCCCTAGAGAGAAAATGTAGTCATCCAGGAGATTTAGAACATGGCTCTGTTCATGTGACAGATCTTTCATTTGGTTCAAAAGCTACTTTTTCTTGTAAAGAAGGGTAAGTATTTTGGTGAAGTGAATGGGTCCTTTTTCACTTTTTTTTTTTGTTTTTTTTCTCTGTTTAGACCAGATTTGAACCAAACCCAAATTTTGTTATGCAGGTTACATTCCAGTTCTGACTTGAAATATCTCCTGAATTCTCCCTGAAGCAAATGAAATTACAGCTAAATTTGATTTAATTCCCTGCTTTTACTTGCTGTTTGCATCAAACAAGGCTTAAGCTTTTGGTGAGATTCTGCACAGTGAAAGTTACAGTGTTACCTTTAATGAGTTCTTTTAATTCTTCTGTGGCAAAGGGAATAAATACATATATTCACCACCCTTCGTTATTATATTAAATAGTGGCTTACCTGTCTGTGTATAGCAAATTAAGTCAAAAGCACTAACGTCTTGTGAGGTTTTTTTTCTTCCCTTGACTTTTAACAGCTTATTTCTTTAGTATTAGTAACTTTAGTGCGTTAGTATTAGAGGGTGTACATCTTAAAACATCCATTCCTTTCGTGATGTCTCATTTGCATCTCTGTTGTTTTCAAAATTGAGACTGTTAGCAAAACAAAAATTAAAAAAAAATCAAGATACCTTTCTCATTACAACAAAAACTTGGTATGTCATGTCCCTGTAGCCACAGAACAGAATTACATCTACAGAGTTTCTAACTGCTTGTTGGAGAAATAAGAGACTTTGTAAGTTTCACCTCTTTAAACATTTTTTACCTGTCTAGATTCAGATTACGTGGTACTGATGAAATTTCCTGTGTAATTAAGGATAAAGGCGTTGGCTGGAATAGAGATCTTCCTCTCTGTGAAAGTAAGTAAATTGCTACTGTGTTTGTATTGAGGTGGTGTTAGTTCATTTAAAAACAGCTGTGCCTTAAACCTTCCAGCACAAGAAATGATGGTAAAATAGGACTGATTTTTAGTTTTAGTTTTTTGAAACTACTGGGGATGTGCCTGAGGATTGACCACTAAAAAATATCAGTTATTGTGGTAATTAGCTCATATTAGTCAAAGTCAACCTCTTTTTGAAATGAAGACTCCCTATAATAAATGACCATCGGTAACTATCAGTTATAACTGTAGCTTGTCTTTGGAATAGCTGCGTGTCAGATTTTAAACTAAATTGCATGAAAATCAAGGTTCGCTGTTTCTGAGCTGAACAAGGTAACGGCAAAATTCTGTTGACTAATTGGTATAATTTATTTCTAGGAATTCCTTGTGAGCCACCTCCAAACATAGCCAATGGGAGGTACACTGAAGCAGCTAGCTACGTTTACCAAACATCAGTGACCTACAGGTGTGATGATGTCCCAAAAGGCGCGGATCCCTTCTCACTCATTGGCCCAGCTACTATTTTCTGCACGCATGACGCACACTCGAATGGAGTTTGGAGTGAACCACCTCCACAATGCAAAGGTTGTTGGATATTTTTTAATATAATTCTTTATTATAGCCAGTGTGACTCCAAAACTTCAATATTTGTCCCTTTTTTGGAAGGGGTGTGCAGGGGAATGAAATTCCCTGTAGAAAAGAAAAAATGGATCCTCTGGTACTAAATTTGATACAGTTCCAGTGGAGATCAGATCAGCTGCATTATGGATATTGATGGATTATGACACAAAATATGACTAAAACTTAAGTTAAAAATTTAAAAATCTATGACAAGGACAAAGTGAAGGAACTGAGAGACCATAAAGCCTGGGTAGCTGGAGAAAAATTATGTAAAGAGCAAGAAGGTGGAAGCTAGATTATGAATAGTAAAAAAGTGAGGAAGAACACAGCCACTGTGCACGTGCAGAAATAAATGCAAAGCCCAGAGGGCACAAAGTCTTGCTTTGCAGACATGGGGAGAAGTACCACGTTGCTTGCATGTTGTTATTCGAACCCTAATCAATATCACTTTGTTTTCTGAAATTCAGACACTGTAGAGCAGGATGTCTTTTGGAAGTGGGTTGAGATTATATCAATTATTACAATTTCTTTTTTGACTGTGTGCTGTTACAAATCAGTCATTAAAAACAAACTCCAAAAAGAATAATATTTTTACCAAGCCCCTCCAGAATAGTTTGAGGAATTAGATAAGGCAACTTAGAAGCAGTAAACAGATGCTGTGTCTGCTGCAAAGATACTGTTAACACATGTTTCAGAGCTGTTTTTCTTTCACCTGTTTCAGTGGTCAAATGTGATAACCCAAAAGTTGAAAATGGAAGAAAAAAAAGTGGATTTGGACCTTCCTATAGCTATAGGGACTCCGTCATGTTTGAGTGTGATCCAGGCTATTTCATGAATGGATCAGACGTGATTACCTGTGGAGAAGATAACACCTGGTCTCCTCCAAAACCAACTTGTGAAAAAAGTAAGCCTTTAAATAAGAATTCAACTTTTCTTGTATGTTGTTTTAAAGTCTGTCTCAGCTAAAATCATAACAGATCATAAAAAATCATAACAGATCATAAAAGATCAAAAAATATCATAAAATCATAACAGATCATAACAAGATCAAAACTTAAAATCATAACAGACATGGACATACTGTAATAGCATTGTGGTGTTGTAATGATTTCATGTGTAAATACAGGAGAAAAGATGTGTTTGTGAATTGTGATAGAAAGAAGCAGGAGTATGAACAATGAGGAAACCTATAGTGTCTAGAATAATACAAACCATCACATATCTCTGTTCTACACAGCTCTTCAACTCCTGCTTTCCAGGCATCTTTTATGGTGTGTAATATGTTGTTAGATTTTGAGCAGGCAAATTATTAAGTCAGGGCTGGAGACGTTGCAGAGGTTTTTCTATAACCTTTCTCCTTCCTGTTTGTGCTACAGGGAGAGGGAATGTTGTTGTACAGTGAGAGGATTTTTTACGTGCATACTCTAATAAGGAGTTCCCAAGAATGAGAACCACTTCTGCAAAGAGTATGTTGAGCTGTTCCATAATGAATGAGTCTGATAAGGCACCTGGAAATTATTCTAGAGCTTACAAAAATAATTGACCAACAAATAACAGATTTCTTAGTTGCCACATCATAAGATCATATAACCTTAATGAATGCCTACAATGATGTTTCTTGTAAGTCTTCTAAAGGAAACATTTATAATTACAATTGTGGTAAAGTTAAACTATTCAGATATGTTGAGCTATTTTTCTCATACAAAGGGTGTGTATGTTTGTGGAGTGAGTTGATGTATTATGAAATATTTAAAGTTTATTATCACTAAACTTACTTTTAAATTCATATGGTAGTTTCTGAAGATGGATGTGCTGCCCCAGAGATCACCCATGGAGTAGTGATTCCAGTGAAAGCTGTGTATGCAAAAGGAGAGTCTGTTCAGCAAAAGTGCAATGCTAACTGTACTTTTCCTGATGGCACTAGAGAGATGGCAGTCACTTGTCAAGGACAGAATACCTGGAGTTCTTTACAAAACTGTGCATGTGAGTAAAACTCATAATTGTTAAAATCAAGGGCAGAGTGACAAATTCCAAACATCTGACCTGATAGTGTGCAGACCCTGAAAGTCAGAGGCCTGTCTGTTAGCAGGGCCACTGGCAGGTTGTGTTGTGGGGTTGCGAGTGTCATGGGGTGGAGTTTCAGCAACTGAGGAAAGTTTTCAGCAGAGTTGGAGTCCTTGTTCACTCTTAGTTTTGTTTCTGGAAGTTGGTAAAGCTCAAAAGCCAGTGGGAAAGGTCTGTTCTGGGAGTGTTTTCTGAAGATTCTTCCTTTGATGATGGCAGACTCTATTCTCACCTCTCTTTGCACCGTGTAATCACTTGTTATAATGTAAACAGAGGTTGTCATTACTTTGATGCCACTGTTTGTCCTAACGAAGCTGAGAGATGTTTCTGTTCATGGGTCAAACACGTCCATCAGCAGATATATCTGCAGCCTCTAGGAAGCTGCATATAGAATGTCTTGAGGGTTGACTGAGCTTCTGATATCTACACAAATGTAGGGACTTTTTAATGGCAACTTCTTGAATCTGCTTCATGTACCAGCTCTGTTCTGGGACTTTATTTCCTTTTCTCTCTCCCCCCTGCCCCTCCCTCTCTTTCCAGGTGAACCTATAACTTCTGGTTACACTCCACATATAAATTATGGTAGCGTAGTTGATGGAGAAAAACCTTCATATTCTGTTGGAGATTTTATTACAATTGAATGTTACTCAGGCTACACGTTACATGGTGAAGCTCGTATTCAGTATATTGGAGAAAACCGATGGATTCCTGGAGTGCCAACTTGCCAGTTAAGTAAGTATGAACTGCAGGAATTTCCACTAGAATGAAAATACACGTACCAGAAAGAAGCTTTACTTCTTGGGCACATTCTTTTGTATTCAGGAGAAATCATTTAATGCAAACTTCCTTCTTTATTTTGACATAAGAAAATATTCCTATTTTTAAATGGATTTTACCCCAAACTATTTTTAAGTTAAATAGAAGTTATGATATAAAGTAGCCTCCTGCAGGGATTGTGTTGACAGAAGTGAATAACTTTGTGAATATTTTTATAACAGTGTTTGAATAAGAGGCACATGTGTTCCTCTTGTAATACTGATTCACTCTGTTTTTAGGTCCATATGTTACGGCCATCATCTGTGGTAAGTATCTTGCAAAACCTGAACAAAATACGATATGGATTGTATTTTTAATGCAGAATTGATACTCTGGTCATCACCTGTGGCTGCAGTAATATGACATGATTTTGGAGTTTCAGTTATTTTAAAAATGGTTAGGTACTCCTAAAGCTGCATAGCTCCGGAAAAGTTAAGATGACTTTAGCAATTAGAGGTAAATTTCATGTAAAATGTGTATTTTTTTCATGTATGTGAAGGCATCAGATTTCAAAAGCAGTTTTCCACAACTTAGTCACTTTCATCAGCTCTTCAGAGCTTGGGTTTACTGAAAGTAAAGTAAATAACTGTGCCAGTGAACAGAAGTGCTTAGTCCATCTTCTGTCCTAGTGTTTGTTTTGTAAGCCAACCACTTTCTTATAAACTTTTTGTAAAAGCAATGTTAAGATGTTCGTGTAGCTGTTTCAGTGTTACTGAGCTGGTGGGCTTTTGCCATCTTGGTGGTCTTTGTTCTTGAGCTGAACTATCTTGAAGAGTCTTGAGTAAAGAATCGAATACATATTTGTGAAATAAGCTATGCAGATTTTAAGGGGGTTTTTTGGAGGGGCAGTGGTTGCCTGTGGGTGAATACAGTGCTATTTCTGCTAAAAATTATTGAGGCTTTTTTGTGAGCTATGGATGATCTTTATCACTCTAAAGCTTTTTTTTTTTTTTTTAATTCTTCTTAAAGTGATTGTTGCAATTGTGGTGTTCCTGGCAGCTTTCTGGGTCTATAAGAAATTCTTTTCACAAAATGGGTGAGTAAGCCTACTTTTTTACTGTTATTATTGCAAATTTCTAAATGTCTTGAGCTGAAGCAATGCTAATGTGTAAGTTTCTTGAGCTTTATCTGCCCTTTCTTTTTCAAATGGCTGATGATTATATGTGAGCTTATTGCAGCAGCTGATGGGAAGCTCAAGTACCTAACAATGTATTTGGCTTTGTTTTTGTATCTGCTATTCAGATAAGCTGCTGATTAACACTTGCACTAATTTCAAGGAAAGAAAAACCCTCTTCTTAAGCTTGTATTTGGCATAAGTACACTTGCCAAGGAAAGTACTGTTTGCATCTGCTCTAAAACAAAGTCAGTTCACCTCTTTAAGCCAGTGGGAGTGTTTAGCTTGTGTTGGTTTTTGTTTGTTTGCTGCTTGGTTACCCTCTGGCATCATTAGATCTCCCAGGCTTTAAGAGCCAGAGGGATTTACATGAACTGGAAGCCTTGGAGGTGAACTGCATATAAGATGTAGCAATGGTAGTGGAGGTTAACTGGAGAATCAGTGTGTTCTGGTTTTTGAACTAGAAGCACCTTGAATAAAATAATATGGGCTTAGTTACAAGACAAACGTGGGAAAAAAAACCCAACTTGATCTAAACCAGTGCTCCTGTGCTGTTTGAAAAAGGAACCAGTCAGCTTTGCTACTGGAATGTTTAATGTGTGGATGCACCTCAGTGTTTTTTCTGCTGCAGCAACGATTGGTGTCCCTATGTTAAAGACTTGCAAAATCAACTATAAAATATTAGATGCATGAGTAGTAGTGTTCTTGTTTTTAATGAGACACGTTTTGAACTTTATCTTCAAAACAACTGATGTTTCTATAAGCTTTTTCATGGAGGGGTGGCAGGAGATTTAAATACCTCTTTGTGCATTGCTTCTTGCAGTGATGTCTCATTTTATCTTCTTGAAAAAAGCCTGTTTTGTTGAAGAAATAGTTTGTAACATGCAAAATACTGAAAATCCAGAGCAGGTTAGGTGGTACACGTAGGGTGTTATGATAAACATCTCATCAGACCTGACTTACCTTTTAACAAAATCTGCTGGAATTTATCTGGGGTACGTGAAGCAAAGGAAAGGATGCTATAAATAAGGCAAACCAGAGGAAATATTCCTGTGGTTTATACTGGTAATGAAGTACACACAGTGCTACTTGTATCCAGTGAGGTTTTAGCTTTAGTATCTTCATGTAGGCAGTACAGCATCGTTACATGGGCCACAGTGGCCCTGCAAGCAGAGTGGCTGCGTACCTGTGTGCTAAATAATTCAGTGTGTGCAATCTGGATGGTCCCAGTAAGAGTACATGGGAGATAGGAGTATTGGGGCTGCATTTTCTGTGCTCATCTGTGGAGAAACTTCTCAGGATGTAGAAAGGAGGAGGGGTCTAAAGCAACATCATCATTCAGTTTTATGTTGTGAGTAGTCTTATCGTGCCCAATGCTTTCCTTAAGCTTCCTTGCTGTGAACATCTGACTATTAAACCTCTTTCTTGTCTGAAAACCCTGATCTGCTCTCCTTTTATTAAGGCCTAGATCTCCCTTTTTAGTTTTCTGGATTCCTGATGTAGCTGAGCCTTTGTGAACTGTTGTGCTTCCAGTACCTCATACTTGCTGGGTTGTCTAGTCTTCAAATTACAGCAAAAATCTCTTCTCGCCCTCTCTTTCTTGTGTGTTTAATCTGCCCATTTGATTGGACATTCAATTAGACCTTTTTCCTCTTCTGCTGTTCAGCTCATATACAGTTGATGAGAGTTGCAAGGAAACATGTATTTTAAAAACTAATGTACCAGCTGAGATGGAAGAAACTGCACAAATGAATTAATTGAATCTTTACAAGGTATACACTTTCCACTTAATTTGGACTTTTGCATTGAAGCTTAAGTGTCTTTTTAATTATGATTTACTTAGAATTTCAGAAGTATTGACTCTTGCTAGCTGTGAACCTCAGTTTCCCATAGGAAAGACTGCAGTAACCATTCATTCATCTTGGGAAAATAGGATATATTGCATAAAGAATTGTCATTCAGCGTTGTATGTGTTAGCTTCCAATGATTGCTCATCAAATATCTTAGTTTTGGGTGGTTTTTAAAGAATGAATATCATACTTTTGTGTAAAATAGAAACTACATAGTTACTCAGTAGAATGTTTGCCCTTGTTTCAGTAATGTGAAGTGGATTTCAGTGGTGTGCTACTTTTGTCAGCTAATAGTATAATTCCTTATAATTAGAAGACTTGGAGGTGGAAATACTATATATATATATATAATTCCTTATAATTAGAAGACTCGGAGGTGGGAACCACCTTTGCTGCACTACAAGGCCACTAGAATTACGAAGGTAGTGTGCATCCCTTCAGAGAAAACCAGGTTACAAGTCTCAGAATTACCCATTCATCTGCATTTTCAGCTTTCTAGAAGAAAAATAAGATAAATACACCAAGGTGCAAACAAGGTCTTTTTTTTTTTTTTTTTTTTAAGCCTTTGAATACTGTGAAGCTTTCTTTTTCAAATTCAGAGTCCTGTTTGACTAAAAAGAGTCCAAATATAGCTGCTTGTTTGGAATTAATTTCCTCTCCTATAATTGAGGAATTAGGAGTCAAATACATTTGATGATAGTTCCCATTGCTCCTGCACTTGTGTAGGATCAGTTTAGCTCTTTCAGAAACCTGACTCTTCAACCCTTCTTACAGGACAGATCTAAGACAGGACAGCTTAGTTTGACTGTTCCTTGTCAGTATTTTGTCATCACTACCTTAACAGTTAGAGTTTGTGCTACAAATACTTTTGGAAACTAGTATCTTCATTTGTGTCACTTTTCTCCATTGCACAGATTCGGAGAAGGTAATGTTTATTTAAAATGTTACATCTCTTTTCTGCCTTAATGCAAAGGTCTTTTCAAATGCAGAGGCTTGATTTTATTTACTTTTAAAGAACAAGTGTATTTTCAGTATTTTCTAGAAGTTTGAGATGGCATATATGAGAATTAAGCTTGGAATTTCTTCCAAAATAATGTATGGATAAAGGAATATCATCTCTGCCTCTGAAGTAAAATGTTTCTGAGACAGGATTAGTTTTCTGGGTTAGCTTGGCTTATTTTTGGAGAGTGAAAAAAGGAATCAGAATAGAATAGAGTTCTTATTTCCAATCTTACCTTTTGCACATGACAATGATAAGATAAATTAATGGTTTGGTGTGTGTACACACTAGTAACCCCTGAGGTTTTCTTGTAGTATCTAGCACTCCTTAGATATCTAGAATAATAGTGCAGAGGTTTGATATGGGTTTTTTTTTCTGTGAAGCAAAACAGGAGTTATTCAAGAACTCGAAAACACAAATATTTGATGTAATTGTGAATTTTAATCCTCATGTTTAAGTGTTGTAAATTTGCTGTTAGTGGATTGCAAAATTAAAACTCTCACAAACTAATACTCAGTTTCTGCTTATAAAACATGTACTAAACAACATACTGTGTTTAAAGGAAACTACAAGGGATGCTTCTGACGTAGTCTCCAAATTAGTTGGGAATCCTGTGACTCTTCTGTCTGGTGTCAGTTTCTGCTAAACCCAGGCATGGTCCATTCATCATTTGATATGATCCATTGGGATCAAGTGCTCTTCTACTCTGTGGGTCATTCTTAGCAGTCTAGTGGATGAAATGAAGCAAAAATCTCCTCAGACTAGCAGTTGCTTAGTAAGAAGAGGACAAATAATGATTTAGTTTCATGACTTTACCTGCTGATTTAATGATAAAACTAAGGATGTGCTTTCAGAATAAATGTAAAAACTATTTAAATGTAAAAATCTCTGATTTGACTTGTTTTTTTGTTTGTAGGAAACGAGACAGCACTCCATGTACTGCCGAACATAAGATCTGTAAAGCATGAATGACCTTTTTTGGGGGGGGAAGCTGGGGTGGAAGGGAACTTGCAGTTGAATATACCTGTCAGAAGTGGAAAATTATTGCACTTGCCTTGAATTTCTGTAGATTAATATCTTGTCCTGTATCTTATACTACTGACTAACTGTAGTAAGAGATCATTAATAGGGTAAAAAGAATATATATATATGTATATCTCTCTCTATATAGATATAGATATATATATCTATATCTATATATCTGCTTTTCCTTGTGGGCCACTCATATTGTCTTTCCTGTGTACATTAAATGGTCTTAAAGGCAGAGACCTGTAGCATGCAAGAGTTGTCGGCGGGAGTACTGGACGTGTGGCTGTCATAGTACCTGCTGCTGCTGCCTTCAGTGCTACCTCTTTTCTTCCAGAAGATTGTCCAATATTAGTTCTTCTCACTAAAATCCCCATGTGCTTCTCATTCATTTTTTGCGGTTCAGGCAGTGTAAATGGTTTTGTTGTCTCTTGTGTTCTGAAATGTTTTATTGTTCTTATTTTCCTTAAGAGATGGGTGCATTTCAGGCTCTGTCTTTTTGAAACTATCACAGTTTAGATCGTATATACACTACCTCTTTGTTTGCCAAAGTTGGTTTCTGTATATCTAATGAATTAAAATGTGCCTTTACATCAGGGGTTTACAGCTTTTCCATTGCCTTTAAGAAGTAAAAAGCCATATATATTTCTGGCTCTTTGATATAATCCCAGAAAGACTGCAGTGGATTTGTTGGAATGGAAAACTGAAGGTTTCTATAGCAAAAGTATCCCCCATCTTTGAATTCGTTGGCCTGACATAAGGTACCTAATTAAAGGAACTGCTGAGAAATCAGTGGTAGCCATCTCCTATCAGGAGCACAGTAGAAGTTCCTTAGAACGCTTGATTTTTATTGAGCCTTGATGTGAGTTTCGGAGATAATTTTCTTGCTTTTCAAGACAGAAAGGGCGCTGTATGGATCTCGCTTCCTTGCTTTTTTCATTTGCAATCATGTATTCCCCGTGCAGCACTGCAGACCTCTGTGTACAGACAATGATGCTAAGTCTGGCTCTGAAATGCTCGTTTTAGCATCAGATACTTGTTGAGAAACAGAATCCTCTCCCTGTCTGTCTCCCTTTGCTTTTCATGTTGAAGGAAGAGCGAACCAGCGTAGTTGTGGGAGTGCTGGGATGGCTGTGCTGGCAGTGGCGGTAGATGTGGTCTCTCTTTAGGTAGCTGCTTGTTTTGTGAAGTGTTTTTATCAAGACTGTGACTCCAGGAGCTCCCATCACAGAATTTACCATGAACTGAGACTCAGACGCGCATCGATAGCTGTTACTTGAAGTGCATACTTGTTATTTCTAATTCCTTATTAAAACCAAAAGCTTAATTAGGACAGGTTTTGGCTTTGTGAATTTCTGAGTTTGCTGACAACATACAGGCAGCTTCTAAAAACCCATTTTCCCAGAAAAAAACCCCAAATTGCCTCACTTCAGATGGCTGAGGCAGCATTTAAACTCTTCCTGCTTGTCCGTGGTAGATCAGTGCTGCTCCCCGCTGTCGTGAGCAGATCGTTTGGATAACGAAGAATTGATGAGGGCTTTCTAGGGCTTCTTGGGACAATCCCAGCAGCTGCATTGTCAGAGTTCATAATAGTCTCTGCTTATTAAAAAAGGGGTTTTGGCTACACAAGAATGACTCGCTGTTCATAGCTGATACCTAGTTTGATAATTGTTTGTAAACATGATGATAATATACTGGGAATTGAGTGTGCTGGTCATTAGCTAGTGGGATTATGTGTGGCATCTTCAATGTTTTAAAATATGCCAAAATGCACTTAATGCTGAAGTGAAAGAATTGTAAAAAAAAAAAATGGCCTTATTTTTACACTTTTTTTTTTTTTCTGGATGTAAAGACTAGTGATGACTTGTAATGCAAATAAAAATGTTAATTTATTTAGCAGTAAGCGTTTGTCTTTCATTCGTCGTGTGGGAAGCAGCTCTTTTCCCATTATTCTTAAGATGATTTTTCACGTACCAACTTGATTAGGTGGCAACTGTCTAGATTAAATTTTGCAGTTTGTGCACTAAGAATTACTTAATGGCAGTGTAGAGGACGTGTTTTGATTTGCAGTCTCATAGCCTTTTGGTTTTCTTTTGGAAGTGCAGAGAATTTCCCACAAGCTCCAAAACCTGTTGCTGTTCACTCCTGAAAAACCTGGTAAAAACTCGATGGAGAAGAGGCAGATTTTCACGTGGCTGTTCTGGTGTAACACTGAGTCAGGAGCAAAATCCAGAGAGTGTTCTGGCACTTTTGTCCAGTGTGTGACAGATCTAAACCTTAAGGAATAGAATTTAGGCGTTTTTAGGTAAAATGTTAAGTAGAATATGATTATTTTTAATTATATGAGGGTCACACTCAAAATGTACTTAACTTCCTTTGTGAAAAAATGTGGGGAGTCAGCTGCCCTGTAGAATGAAGCAGAGGGTGGAATAGAGAAATAACTAAGATGTCATTTTATTTATTTATTTTTAGTGGTTTGTGGTTGTGATACTCAAAATCAGTTGGTGTGGACTGCAAATGATGATGACAGCATGTAGACTATGCAGCTTTATAATCTATTAAGTTTGGGGATTGTAGGGAGCGTTAGTGAGATTGACAACTACTAGGTGATTTGACTTAAACGCCGCAAATTAATTTGTCCTAATTGCCATAAATTCTGCACCATTTTCTACAACTCGGTCCCACATGAATTATTTCAGTTTAGAATCTAGAACTGATCCTTAAAAGTCACGGAGATGTGAACTTTGTGCTAAGAAAAAGGCTGGATGTAAGAAAAACGTGTTGTTGCCATCTACTGGTAAAACAAGCTGTGTTCTGACAGTGGGAGTAACAAACCAGGCACAGCATTACCTGGTTTAATAGTGTGACATGTCAGTGGCTGGCAGGCTTTTCAGTGTGACACTTAAAATCAGTGTAAATTTCACTTTGGAGCATGTTCATACAGGGTGGTGAAAATGGAGCTGTATGGGGAATGAAATGAAGAGACTTGCAGCAATTAGTTATTGTCCAGCAGGGAAAGGTGTAATCTGCCTACCTGAGACAGAGCCCAATACCAAGTAGCACACAATTTTATTTAAAAGGAAAAGGGAAAAAAAAATAATAATCTTGAGTAAATAACAGGTTAAGGCAAACAAATAGCACATGGAATATCGCTGGTCAGAAGGTTTGGTGGTGGCTGTGCTCTCACCCCTGGGCCCTGGCTTGCTTGAGTTGAAGAATCTTTAAGTTACGTGTTTGAACAGATGCTTGGCTTTCTCTTTAAGCATCCCTCCTAGTTGAGCGTGATGCTGAGTGTCCTCCTTTTGTGCAGGACGATCGGCCCGTAGGTGTAACTTCAGGTCAGAGAACAGAAAAGCATACCTGAGGTGTTTGTGAA